TTTGGTTATGAACCCAAACTAGGTAGAAATGCCGATTCCCAAACCCAAACTAAGTAGAAACGTCGTAACTAAAAAAAAGTGTTTGGACCGCAACCCTAGTTATGACGTGCCCTTCGGTCACATCATAAGCACAGTATCCGAGTGAATAATCAATTATAATCAACAACATGACCGATAACAAGTACATGATACGATTTCACATCTCAAAACCGATCCTGTCAAAGCTGATAACCTGTTAAATTGATAAAAAATTAATCTACCAAGCCCGTTCCCGTTATATAAATCTAATAGATTGCTATGTTTTCAAATCCGATAACCTCTTAAAACTAATAAAAAAACCTGTTCACCATGCATACCGATTCTGAGAGAGTCGACTGTAATCTCATTTATACACAATACTGATTAACATCAAAACGGATAACCGGATATCTGACGAATAATCCGAGTCTAATTATTTTTCGGGTATTTTTTTATAAATCCGCATAGGATCGGAAAATTATTCGGATAGCTAGGATTTTAAAGCTACGGATCGCTACTCTACATGAGTCTACGTATCTACCTTTCAATGTGATTCTATCGGGCTTAGGCTAATTCTAGGAACTAATATCGATATCTACATCGGGAAACCTCATCCCAGTTAACATACTACAGCATGCTTTATATATGTTACATAAAATATATCTATTTTATTTGAGAGTAATGTTAAGTCACAAACTTCATATATATAAATTAATTATTAGATGGCATGCCAATGACTACTTTGTCGGACACCCTAGTCGTAATGCTTGTGCACTATTTCGATTATATGAAAACGAATCAAGGTTGATGCTTGAGAACGTCTATAGTATAATTAACAGAATATAGTATTGAATAGTTTTTAATTAAGTTACTGAGAGAAGCTAAGATATAAATAAAGTTACTTTTGTTAAGCTTTTAAATTTATTAAAATATTCTTTCTTAACCCTTGATTTAAATAAATAGAGTAAATGGATAAATACAAATCAATTGAAAAATAAAGAATAACTAACGCGCAAATTTCTATAATTCAAAATAGTTAAAAATTTTTGGCTCCTCAGAAAATTATATTGATCATTATATCTGGCTGAGTATTTAAATATTGATTAGTAAAAACGGTTCTGAAAAAATGGACTACATACATTCAAATTTGATTATTGTTTATAATTTCGTTATACAATAGTTTATAATATATTTTTTTAAAACTAATAAGGTTACCAGATTAAAGAAATATTTTTATGAAGAGCCTCTGCTAGTGCTTTTCCTTCTTCAGATTTAACGTCATTATAAGAAAGATCTAAAAAGGTTAAAGCAGTGTTCTTGCAAAGTGCCTTTGCTAATGCTTTTCCCCCTTCAGTACCAAGACAATTTCTGTTAAGATTTAAAGAAGTTAAACCGGTGTTTGTATAAAGTGCTTCTGCAAATGCTCTTCCACCTTCAACGCCAATATTATTATAGCCAATATTTAGAGAAGTTAATGTAGTGTTCTTACAAAGTGCCTTTGCCAATGCTATTCCTCCTTCAACACCAATATCATTGCGACTAAGATCTAAAGAAGTTAAAGTAGTGTTTGTATAAAGTGCTTCAGCAAATGCCTTTCCACCTTCAATACCAATATTATTATCGCTAAGGTTCAAAGAATTCAAAACAGTGTTCTTACAAAGTACCTTTGCTAACGCTTTTCCTCCTTCAATAACAATATTATTGCAACTAAGATTTAAAGAGGTTAAAATCGTATTTATATAAAGTGCTTCAGCAAATGCTACTCCGCCTTCAATACCAATATCATCATCGCTAAGACTTAAAGAATTCAAAGCAATGTTCTTACAAAGAACATTTGCCAATACTTTTCCTCCTTCAATTCCAATATTTTCGTAACTAATAGTTAAAGAGGCTAGAGTAGCATTGATATAAAGTGCTTTTGCTAACTCTTTTACCCCTTCAACACCTATATAATTCCCACTTATACTTAAAGAAGTTAAATTAGTGTTTGTACAAAGTGCTTTTGCCAATACCTTTCCTCCTTCAATACCAATATTTTCGTGACCAAGATTTAAAGAAGCTAGAGTTGTGTTTGTATAAAGCTCTTTTGCTAACGCTTTTACTCCTTTAATACCAATATTGTTACGGTTAAAATTTAAAGATGTAGTACTCTTGAAAAGAATCTCTGCTATTTCTTCGAAATCGAAATGATTTTGATAAAGATATATAGAACTAATAGTGTTATTTCTATAAAACTTTTTAAATAATAGATTATTATTATTATAAACAAATCCGAAGATTTCTAAATATTCCAGCTTCTTGTTTGTCCTTAGAAACATTGAAATTAAAGAACATTTAATGGAATTCACAAGATTATCACTGTTACATCCCCAACTATTATGAACTTCTTCATAACCGTTATCATTAAGCCAATTAATAACTCCTACATTTAAATATCTGCGAACTGATGTAGTATAACTTGTATATTCAAATAATGGTTTCGAATGATTTGAAAAGTGAATTTTAAAGGGGATTAATAATGCTTGTTCTTCTACATTTAATGTCAAAAGACATGTGTTTATAAGTCTTTTATCGTCTAATTTTTCACCTATTTTACTCCATAATATTGGTACAATAATCCTACACCAGTGACGGTTTACAAGAAGGCATGAATGTAAGTTTTTATAATCATCATTGAAGTTATTGAATACTAAAAAAAGGCATTCGATCGGCAATTTTATCATTTTGAAAATTAAGAATTTTTTTGTATGTACGTACTGTATGCATGTAATTACGTATGTGTATATATACGATAAGAAATGTAGTGAAACGTTGTAACTAGTTGCATAAACAAATTCTGTGCCAAGTTTGTTGATCAAATTTAACCTTAAATATACGTACGTACTACAAACTTTAATGTTTAGAAACAATTTCGAATTCCACGGACTTGAAATTAGAATTGTACTTAGAAATTGTGTTATCTATGTAATTCTCAGAGTATTTTTGTAAAAAATTAAGAATGGGCGCCACCGGTGCCCCTGTTAATTAAATTGATGTTTGTTTATGGTATATTGTGTTATTTTTAGTCTGTTTTAATATGTCGTTGTGAGATTATTGTATTAGTAAGATTTTTATTACGTGGGAATAAAAAAAAAACGATTTTTATTTATTGTTTGGATTTCCACACAGAATTGTTCTAACCGCTAAAGGAAGTTATTGTTGTTTTTTTTTTTTTATTATAGTTGTTAATTTATTATATAATCTTAGCTTTTTTGAATTAGTTGTGATTTTTGTTTATTTATTATTTGTTTTATAATATTTCTCACGTTTTCTATTTTTAAATTGTATGAGGCTTTATTATCATTAGTTAATTTAGGTAATTGATTGATTATATATTTTTCGTTACGCTAAATGCTAACGTTGCGCAGATCTGTAATAGTGATCTCTGTTCGATATTTGATTGGAGTTTTAGTGTAAAGTTCGTTAATGGTTAATTAATTGATTAAAGCTGTTTGTGGTATGGTAGATTTTTATTGATTGGTTAGTGTACATAATAATATACTGTAATATGATATAACTAATTTGTAGTTAAATTTAGTATATATAAGAGAAGAGAAAATAAAGTTATTAGTAAATTTTTTTTTTGTGTGATAAGTAAATTCGTATTATATTATTAATTTTTTATTTTATATAAATTATGAAAATAAGTCTTTTATTATTATATATTTTATATGTAGATGATGAAATTATTATTGTTAATAGGAGTATTTGTAATATGGTAAATATGGTAGTTTTTTTTTCCTGGATTTTTTGTAGAGAATTTTGTATTACTAATAATTATTATTATGGATTTACTAATGATAATTTTTTGTTTATTGAATTAATTCTTTATATACAATATTGGTTGTTTTTCGCAGTTGCATTATTTTCTGTTAATAAAATTAAACAAAAATCTCTATTTCTTACACAGGAGATGGTAACCATGTGTGAATACATGAGTTCAAAAATCTATAACAACATGATCCAATGTAAGACCTTGACAACTATTAAAAGTTGTCAAATAAGCTAGACATAGTGAAAATTGTTTTCGATATACTATCCACAAACAGTAGTCTGGTTGAAAGTAGAAATTGATTCTAGCTGATATGTAATTAGATTGGTTATTATTAAATAGTATTACTTCAATTAGTCATTGACCCAAGTTAGTTACCATAACTCATACATTTTTTACTAATTCTCTTTTAATAGAGATATTTCTCATAATAGAACAAATAGCACCACATTTTAAATAAAGTCCATGATTCAGTATTCCTAGATGTGTTAGTTGAACTAGGTAATCTGGTGTTGTAATAGGGTTGTCATTTAGTATTTCATTATTTTCTTTAACAATGTTACTATTAAAATGCATATATGCTATTCCAGGTAAAATATTGAGAATTTGATTGTTGAAATTATTGACTAATAGATTCCTGGGGCTAAAAAAAGCTCTTTTTTGCAATGCAGTATAATCAGCAAGTGAATTTTTTAGATATAAAAATGAAATTATTATTTCTATATAATGTATTTTTTTGAAAATTTCTAAAGATACTTCTGGCTCTTTCTAGTTACTTCTAATAGTATCAACAAATTTAGCAAGGTCTGGGTCAGTTGTGTTACATATAGATTGATTAAGAGTATATTTGTCAAAGTGTGCTCATAAATATAATGTTTTAATTGATGTGTCTAATGTAGCAGTTTTTTCTGCTCCTTTTACAATAGAAGCCACCTGTCTAAAATCTCCAGCATCTATAAAAGGCTTTTCTTCAAATGGTTTATTTTTACTACAGATTTGTTTGAAAAGAAGGTTAATACATTTTAGTATTGCTTTATTTGCCATTAGGAGTTTATTCTAAATTATCAGAGTTAAATTACAAATTAAGTTTGCTGTTTCATAAGTATTTGAAATAGAGAGTAGGCTATATGACCACCTTTATATAATAATGCTGCTATTACAGTGGTTTTACAAAGTAAACCAAATTTTTTTGCAGCTCTAATTATATAGCAAATGATATTAATAAGAAAAGTTTTACCTCAACCAGCTTTTTAATCTAAAAATTTTGAAAATATTGATTTTGAAATAGATCTATTTTCTGGTTTCTAAAGCATTTAAGCTATAATTTCAGTATAAAAAGTAATTTGTTCAGAAGTCATTTTCAAGTAGAATTTCTCAGTAAGTTGTCTATATCAAACATAGTCAAAATAATATTAATATTTAGCAATTATTTTCTGAGTTCATGTTTGTAGTTCTGGAAGACCAAAATTATGAAATGTCACCCAAGTTCAGCAAGCATAGAGGCTATTTGCTGAAAGGTAGCATTTGTAGTATTGAAATAATTACTATAAAATTGTTTTTGTATATAGAAATAGTACAAAAACTCTAAATAAACCCAAAGATCCCACTACAACTTCAATTATAGTATATCTTTAGAGAGATTTAATTTAAAGTTTTGCCAAATGTCAAGTGTGGGAGTACTATCTAAAATTAGCTATGTAAATAAAAATGAAACTATGCTGGTGTTTAAAAATTTTCAATATCTTCTCTTATAGAAAATACATCTTCATTTTTATTAACAAATAGTCTCATTTCACATGCAGTTTCTTGGTAAGTTAGATATGTAATATTATTGAATATTTTGATTTCATTCTATATTTGAACTGCATATTACATTAAATATATTTTAGATAAAAAAGTTCACCAGATCCTGAAGCTATCAAAACAATTCTAGTAATTTTATTAGTAGTTCGTTTTTAAATAATTTTTCTTAACACACTTGCTTGTTCTTGTTTAAAGAAATTACTTTCATGTATATCTTGTTGTGTTAAGGAAT